AGCATTTGGATCAAAATTTTTTCGCCGTTAAATCGGCCGTTTAATAGTGTATATATGACACTATTTAAATCTTGAAAAATCTCGCTTTCGATTTTTCCCCAAATGTCCGCCTGATTGTCCACTGTGTGTGTATGTGAATCTAACTGAGTTTTTTTTCTTTTTGAATATAAATTGAAAGTTTAATCAAGGAAACTTCATATTCACGAGACGGACAAACGGAGGAGAATGACTGCCGCTATGCTATATTGATACAGATTTGAGAAGAGAAAGCTAACGAGAAAAAGGAAAAAGAGACTACTTAGCCTAGATTCAAAAGAACCGTACTGATTTTTTGATCTAAGAGCACTCCCATAGTCAGAATCGCGATTGATTTCGGTCATTTACTGATTTTAAGAAAGTGGAATCTCAATTATACCCTTCGATGAGTTATGACTGGATAATGCAATCATTTGGATTTCGTTAAAATAATGTAGAAGAAATAACAGAAATAACGGCACAATATGAACAGGATATATCGGAGGAGTTATTGCTACAGAAACGACGAAACATTTATGGTACGTGGTCACTGGATGATAAATTGAACAAAACGTTTAGAAGTAGTCTAGAAAAACAATTCTTATCGGGAAATTCTACAGCGTCTGCATTAAACAGCTAAAACGATATTTAATCAGTTTATGGCAGAAAGAAATATTTCAACTCCGAAATCGAGCTTTTTCATTCATTTCTCTTTCATTCACTACATACCGATGGCATGCTGATTTTCTTGTTAACTTAAAAGTTATTCTCTTGAACTGCATGTCACGATGACTATTTTTCTGTTTTTTTTCTTCTTCTTTGCTTTAAGTAATATTTACATTACTTTTCTCACTGTTTCTTTCGTCGTTGCTTTCGTTTCTTTCTTTCTTTCTTTCTTTCATGATCACTAAAAGCAATTTACTCTATAAGTGTTACACAACTAAGTTTTTTCATCCGATTATTTTAACTTGTATGGTAACTTTGCTTACGATCTCATTCTGGACTTTTTTGCTCAAACAAGTAACAGCTACCGTGTTGAAACAACCAGCGCGCTTTCAAATTTATCGAGAGATCGAATATATTGCCTTGGTTTTTGAAGCTGGTACGTAAATGTACACAGGTAGGAACGCAAGTTGAGAAAGCAACAATAAAATCGAAAATTAGTGCAGCTCACTTTAAACATTCGGCATACAGGCATTCTCCCTTCTAGCTCAACAGAGTAATGATGCTTGGTGGCTTTTCATTTTTTGTTTCTGAAAAATTTCCAACAGAAAGCTAATATTTTCTGTATTTCAACTGTAGGCTGACGAAAAGAATATCAAATAGAACATATACAAAAAAAGGGTCCAGCGTTCGGAAGACCGCTCAGTCTTGGATTCACTTGAGTTCGATATATCATTAGAGTTGCAAAACTACCGAATCTGTTCAGTTCTTTTTAAAGTTTTTTCCCAAGCCTAACCATTTTTCATTGTTTTCTCCAAGTGTATATTTCAAGATTGATCCATTTTCTACAGTCTATTTAGAAATAGAACGCAGTCGTCAGGAAACTGAATAATTGGAAGATGGGAAAGGATGAAAATATTCAGCTATCATTTTTAAGGGGTCGATTACCCTCTATCGAAGTTTTGAGTTTTTAAAGACGTCGCTCAGCCCTGTATAGAGAATCACGCTATCGATTTCTATTATAACTATACTAGAGTGAAGAAAGTTGGTTGAGTCATACCGCGTTTGATGCTCGTTTAAAACTCAGTCGAATGATGTCGTGAGTAATTTTTTATTTTTAAGAGAATATTTTATCATTTCTAGTCTTTGAGTTATTCAGTATCCTATAACCTGCCTTTTACTTCGGAATGGGCTGTACTTGCAATGCTGTTCTATTGAGAGTCGGGGAAAGATCGAAGAAACGGTTCTCTCTCGAAATATAGTTACACATCTCATAATAATCAAAACGTTAGGAATGAAGGATGCTCAAACTGTGGTTGAAAGTAACCTACAATTTTCATTTAACAGTCGCCAATAATGACAGACTCACCTTCAATAGTTACGGCTTCTAAGTGGTTAACACAATCATCATCAATACTGGTAGCCGCCGGAGCGGGTCTCTCTGCTTCGGCAATCAGCAGAAAATACAATGTTGGCCTTGATTATACTTCATCCGTAGCATTCGACAGGCTCTATCCACGCATGCTGCAAGTATCAACCATGAGATGCATGTATGATGCTATCGGTAAACATGACTGGTCGCCAAAACTTATGTGGGGCTACCTGTTTACACACGTTAATCTTGCTCGTTACAATTGGGGTGAAACAGATGTTTATCAAGATCTAAAACGAATCGTGCGCCACATACCGGATTCATTTGTTGTGACAACAAATGCTGATGGGATGTTTGAACAGAATGGATTTGATATGCAGCGATTTTTGAGCACACAAGGAGATTATTCCCTGCTTCAATGTTTAAAACCGTGTTCATCTCAAGCGGTATTCGATGCTCGCGAGTATATGGATCGAGCATTGCCCTATGTTGACCCAAAAACGTTTGAAGTTCCATCAAAGTTCATTCCTAAGTGTCCTCGATGTGGCAGTGATATGTTTTACTGTGTAAGAGGTGGAGACTGGTTTCTGGAGTCAGCGTTTGACGATCAACGTCGACGATATCGCGATTTTCTGAATCGGTCAGTGAACAAGGGACGAGGGGGGTTGCTTACGATAGTCGAAATTGGCGTCGGTTTCAATACGCCAAGTGTATTGAGATGGCCGATGGAAGAATTGGTAACAAATCACGATAATGTTCGACTTATTCGAATCAATATGCACGCACCAGATGTGCCAACGAACGTGAGAAACAGAGCAGTTGCATTTGGCGGAGACGCAGCGAGCATTATTCAACGTTTGAGCGAAATAGTATCAAACTCAAGCTAGAGCGTGGATCATTATACACCACAGAGCCAAGATTTTTCTGTACAAGTTGATTTTCTTTTTTCTTTTCTTTTCAATAAACGTCTAGCGTCACAAAAAATGAATGTGGGTCCGCATGTGTATAAAAGCATGATCTATTTTTGATTTCTTATTTTTACTGAGGCAGCCGATTAGTTTTCTTCCAACATCAGACTAATACGGTGAGATGGCGTCACCATTTAAAGGACGAAGTATTTAATCTACAATAGCGAATCAATTCTGATTTCTGAAACTAATAATTTTCATAGAATTATCGACATAATTGCCTAATGGAAAAATCAAGATGTTCTTGCTGGAGCATTGCCTGATGATCTAGTACGAGCATCCAGTTAACAGAGTAAAATAATCGACTTATCTAGATGCGTCAAGTTTAGTTAGTAATGTTTTCATATCAATTTCAGCAACAGTTTTAAAAAAATACTTTAATTTGTTATTTTCCGCTAAAAGCAATCATTTGCAATCACAGACACAAAATTATAAACAATGTACAAAGTGTATGAAAAGAACAATTTCTGTATTTCAGTTTGAGATCACATATTATTTGTGTACGAATGAGAGAATTTTTCATTTCCAAATTGAAAGCAGTTTTCAAATGTAATTCATACACTTCTGCACCTTATTGAGCTGAATTCAGAACGTTTTCGAAAAACAAAAAAGAACATTCAATGGTCGATCTCCAGTGTCCAAAACCCATGTCCATTTTTCAAACTTCTCTACGACGAATAGTTTGCTGAATCATGGTGCTCTCTTTTCGCAAAAAAAGATCGTGAAGAAAAAAGAAACAAAATTCTCATCATAGATGCTAGATGTCTATCGACATAAAAACCAATATTCTGAGCTTTAAAAATATTTTTTGCACTAGAAATGATACGGGCAAGCCAAAGTCAATTTTTTCCGCCAGACTTCCAATAGCGACGAAAATTGTTTTCTATGTAGATCTCAATGTGCTCTTATCAATGGCGAAAGATTCAAGGTTCTATCTCGAAAAACGAAATATTTATAGAAATTTTAAAAATTGGGCAAGAACACTATGTGGAACTTAAAAAAATTTTCTCAAAAATTAGGTTTAGTCGTCGTTCGACAGTTTCACTTTTCGACAGACAGCTTTCGACACCGTCGGATTTTTCGCTCGAAATTCGGCGTTGTCGAAAGTCTGGTGAAAGTCTGTCGAATTTCGAGCAAAAATTTTCGACACTGTTGAATTTCGAGTGAAAACTTTCGGCACTGTCGAATTTCGTGCGAAAAATCTGTCGAACTTTTAGTCTGTCGAAAAGTTTTCGCTCGAACTGCAAAATTACCAAAAATTACGGCTCCCGAAAGCAGAAAAAAAGGTCCTGAAGTATATGTTTTAAGGTGTGCTCTACAAACTTGTAAAAAAAATGAGTGGGAGGATCCCTACTCTTAACTGCCAGTTATACATTGGCAGTTGGTTTATTTGGAGAACATTTGTTATATACAAAAAGAAGCATGTTTTCTATAAGACATCTCAACAATGGATTGTCTGATGTTTAATTCATTTTCATATATTGATCACACAATCATTATTTTACACTGTGTTGCGCGATTATTCTCATATTTAGCCGAAAAATAGTGCTGAAGCGTATACAAGTATGGTTTATTGATCTGTAGGCGTTAATTAAGTTCGTATGTGTTGTATTTCATTGAACTAAGCTGATCGTTTATCCTAAGCGATAATATTGTAAATTTAAAAGAGAATGTCATTTAAACGAAAATATTCAGAAAGATCAGAAGGTTATATAGCAGAAATTTCACCATGTAAAGATGAGAAAAGCATGCATAATTATGCCAATATGATGATCAACTCGTCAGCATCCAAAGTATCAGAAAGGTGTGTTTTTCCCCGAAGCCACTTAAATCAAGTCCAGTATTTGAACGCGCACGTGAACAGTATGACCAACAAAATGGTGTTTCGATTACTGGTTTATTAAAAAACAGAGACGTGAGAATAGGTTTTCATAGGAAGATGTAAGTGGAAAACAGAACTATGCTAGAAAAAGATCTTTACAGAGAAAATGGAAGCAGCATTTTTTTCTCTTGGAGACTCTCTAGAAACCGATGAGCAGTCTTTGCAAATTCTCCATCCTCAAATACGCCACGTCCATACTTTCAGTCATTCAGACGACACCGTTCACAAGTTATACTTCGTTCCGTATAGAGGCGACATCTTTCGTGCCGCTTTTGTATTCGTTTAGCGTACAGTCCAATTATTATTTCCCAGTATTTCTTGGATCGTTTATTTACGGTAACTTATTTATGGCTAAAAGTATTTTACGAACAGTTGTCAGTTTGCCTGATAAAACTGAAATATTTGGATATTAGGCAGACTGAATCAGTTCTGGACGTCGTTTATCAGGTCACGTTCTATTTTCTTTGTTTTCTTAATGTGCATTGCTGAATGCTGAAGAAGTTGTGCATGTTGTCTCAAAGTTTTTGTTCGCTTAATACCAACTAAGTATGAAACTTAACCTTGTAGTCGGTGACCTACTTCTTCAAGTTTGACTTCTCTGCTCAGTTAAAACCAGGCTTTACTGCACTTCAACTTGTTTTTTAGATCTTAATGTTATCCTTGCTCTCTTAAAGTTTGGAAACCTGCTACTAAAATATCAATACCTTTTAACAGCTGATTTCCACCATGGATTGATCTGAACAACAACCTATTAGAATCTAATTATACTCTTTTGATTTATCAACAATAGAGAGATGTGCAAGCCAAACAATGACTCAATTCGATGCTCTCTTCTGAGGTATCTTGTCTGAACTTGATGACGATCGAATCTCACATAAAATTATTTGAAATTTTGACTCACCTGAAACAGTAGATGCGGCCGGCTCTCTCGTTTTATGTAAGAAAACTGTCCCCTCAAACTGTTTGGAAAATCTCGTTTAACATATTTGCTTTATAACATTTCTGAAACAAAACCTTATCCTGTTATTAGAACTAGATCTATATCTAGTAAGAAAAAATGGATAAATATCTTTTGATAGTAAAACTTCCTTTTACTTTGACTCGTTTACAATGTCCGTTTTGTTTGAAACAATTCTTTGAAACAAACGTGACAGATATAAGCGAAGCAGCGTTTCCATTTCTGTTCGTACGTTCTGCCTACTTGAAATGACATGATGGCCGATGGATGTGTCTCACTTTCCTGACTGGGCTCTAGACATTCATCTAGCCAGGACTGTTGATCATATCCATTACGTCTTTTTTTGTGTAGTACTGAGTCTTCCTAGAAAAAGAACTTGAAACGATTCTTGGATACTGTATAGTTTTTTAAAATTTTACTTTCTCTTAATGGATCATGTTGAAATTCTATTTTTTAGAACTGATGATTAAACGTCTCAATTTGCTCCTAACAAGACCAGCATGGTTAGTACGACGATTCCTTGTATCTCCAACTCCTCCCGCTGAAGAAACACTTGACCTTACAAATCCGCTTCATAAACTCTTCCTAGACTGGACGCAAGAACACAGAACACTGAATATGTCATTCAACGAACTGTTTGGCCAGCTGCAATCACATGCAATAAATCGTCGCCTATCTGCCATTCTTCCATACGAATCAGCGGGGAGATCGGATCTAAAGTCTTGCCTAGAAGGCAGTATACTCACCATAGCCCACGTAGTTCCACCACAAGTCGTCATCTCATCCGGTTTTGTCATCCTCGACGGCTCCCTTATCGTCACATGCGCTCATCCATTCTACCAGATACGACACTCCACCAGCCAAGACGTTTCTTCTTCCGTCGTCACAATCACAAAAGATGGCACTATAATCCCCATCATCTCAGTGGAATCTCATCTCCCAATGTTTGATCTCGTCTTACTTCGCCTAGGAACAAAACTTGAATCGTCTCTTCCAATCGATCCCTTCCCAGCACCCATCGACACACACGTGAAAGCCTACTCTTACCATGGAACGACCATCCGTCCGAACTCCACACCAGTCGTCGAATCGACTTGGCAGGACTGCAAAGTCTCGTTCTACACTGATGGAAGAGGCAGGGAAGCAAAGACGGGCACGTATGATATGCTGCAGTGTTTGCATTTTGATCATCTTCCATCGGCTGGATCGTCTGGTGGCCCGATTCTGGATGCAAAGACGCAAGCTGTCGTTGGCATTATTCGTGGCTGGGAACATGCTGGTGGTAAGCTGCGTGGATTTGCCAGCCCGGCAGAGTCTCTGTTTGAGTGCTTTAGCTTGCCTGGTCTGCCGGAAGAAGTTGATTGATTGGTGTATATATTTGGAAAGAAAGTATTATCAAAATGTCCGGACGCAAAAAAAGAATCCAGGAAGGCTCAAACCTTTTTTCGTAACTGTACTTTAATGTATGTATAATTCGAATATACAATAAAAAATATGTGATATTCAGGTGATGCATTGCGTGCTGTCATGATACTGAATAAGTTATAAGTCATAAGGTGACAGGTTTGCAAAGATCAAGTGAAATTATATTTTCCAATATGTTGTACACCATACAATAGAGAATTCAACGGAGATCACGAATATCACCACCTCAACTCCTAAAACCAGTTTGTCGCCAAGATATTCTCAAAATACTGGGAGAGAGTCGAAAACCCAAAACCGTTTTCTTTGAACACAACAGGCCAAAACCGAGACACTCTCTTCTCGCAAGGTTTTCACAGGTTTTGTGAGAGGTTGTAATCCCGATATTTTGGCATGGCTAGATGTGCTAGAGAATAAACTACAAAACAACAAAGCTCTTTTTTAAAAAAGTCGTTTTCCTCGCTGAGAAAAGTCGACTTTACTTAGAAAAAGCGAAATTCTGACCCTAATTCACAATTTTCTCCATCAAAACTTAACTTTCTCGTAGTAAAATATCATATTCAGAATCAGAGTCGGAAATCGAGTCGAATGATTATATTCATATTCCGAATATGATATTTTCACTACGTGAAAGTTGAGTTTTGATGGGGAAAATTGTGAATTAGGGTCAGAATTTTGTCGACTTTTCTCAGCGAGGAAAACGACTTTTTTAAAAAAGAGCTCTGTGTTGTTTTGTAGTTTATTCTCTGGCACATCTAGCCATGCCAAAATATCGGAGCTACAACCTCTCACAAAACATGTGAAAACCTTGTGAGAAGAGGGTGTCTCAGTTTTGGCCTGTACTTTAACTGCGCTATCAAAAACCCGCTAAAAAAATGCGCTAGAAAAAGATGGATAAATATCTTCTGTTAGTAAAACTTCCTTTTACTTTGACTCATTTACAATGTCCGTTTTCTTTGAAACAATTCCGTAATATACTTTCAACGTTTACCTTTTTACTTGCTGTCTTCTCTTCATACACTGCACGAATTTCATGAAGTGTTTCTCTACCAGACAGAAATATTACCATTTATTCGCTTTGAGGTTATGAGCTGTCATTGCGCAGGAAGAAAATCATTTTCATTACCAAAATCATAGGTAATTGGAAAAATGATCTAATGCGTTACACCAGTCTATTCGTAAGTCAGAACTAGTCTGATCATCACGATCACGAAGTCGGCAGATTCTCAGACTATGAGAATCTGAATGAAAAACGCAAAAAACTAGCGTCTGACGGATAATGATAATTAGAAAAAAACAGCTTTTACCTTGTTCTGTTACCATGAATCAAAATGCAACTGTATACTCATTTGTTGTAATCTCTGTTTTGAGCATTACGGTATCGCCACTCCTATCACGATCATAATAGGAGAGCAGAGCACTTTTTGTAGTCCGCTGAATTAGACATTCGTCAGTCGTCATAATACGACTATCATCGAATCTCACCGACTGAATTGGGTTGTGATATCTTTTACAGTGAAGATATTTGTGTAGCACAATTTAACTGAAGAAAAGTTTCGACAATAGTACTTAGGATGTGCACCGCTTTGTTACAGGTATTCCTTGGAGTATGTGCCACAATATACTGGACTTTGTGAGCACAAACAAAGATGAAGAATGAAATTGTTTGTATGTGTTAAGTAGTATACTGATAGACCTCTACTCTGAAGCTCAAGTTCTCTCTCTTTCACATACGACAAGATGCGCATATGTTTGGATCATGACAAGTGCTTAATGTATCGTTATATCTCACCTACATATATCTGCATGCAGCATTGAGAAAAAGGAAATGGAACTTTGCAGTGGAAAAGTAGTTCTGTTGAAAAATTACGCTAATTAATGTTTTTCTCGTCACTTCCTAGCGTTGGATGGAATTCTCCCTGGTAGATGGCTTGTCCACGTAACGCGACACTTCGCTGATTAAGTATTTTTTTCAAAAGTAAACAAAACCGTTTAGGCTAGGTTGTAGAACATAGCCGAAGGTGCCAGAAAATGCATTTTCTTTTTCTCAAGTGAGTCTTGTGAGCCGTCATGTGATGCGCAGTAACTAGAATGGAGGATCTTGTTCGTCACATCTTTTGTGTTCTTATTTTCAAATTGATAGTGCGACTCGCTGTTTTGCTTCAGAAAAAGATTAGAAATGGTGTCCAGAGCGCGAGCTACATTTCGGTAAAAAAATCATTTTGAAAAGCTTTTTGCTTAGGGTGAAAATAAGGCACTTTTGGCTTAAAGTCGTGTTTTCACCCTAAGGAAAAAGCTTTTCAAAATTATTTTTTTATCGAAAATTCTGTCTCCTGTCTTGTAACAGGAGAGACTTTCATCGAAGGGGTTCTCTATTGTGTCTGCCTTATTGCTCATTTAACATGTTGCTTGTTACTATGTGACATATGCTAGAGAATTTAAACTGGCTGCAAGTTCCTTCCAAAGCGAAAAAATTGAACTTGCGACGTATTTAGGATATGCTTGCCCATACAAACTTCTGAATATCGTAAATATCCTAATTAGAACTTACTATGTCACTACGATATATATTTAGTATTTGCAATGCTGTTTCATTTAAAACTCTCCGCGGCAATTTTGAAATGAGATGAGACTCGGTGTGAGCTTCACACGATGGGTCAAAATGGCTGAGAAAAGATAAAACTGTACTACTTGCTATAAAATACCGATACATTTCTTCTGTAATAGCTACAGACCTACAGTTTTTGCAGCTAGACTCAGCTCGACGAGCTCCACAAAATGAAGTTGGTCTGACGAATTGCGCTAAAACTTTTCTAAAGTGTGGTATACTTTAGATGGATATACCCTTTATTTGAAAACCAACGGATTTCTAGAGAGCTATATATAGATGATATATATAGAAAACTACTTTTTGCTTCCAGTTAGCCGCTCGTCCTCAGCTATTACTGATCGTACAGATTTGGAAAAAAGATCGTTAGAAAGTGCAAGAACGGTAGATGAAAGTCTCTTTTTCGATATATGCTTTAATTACTAAGTGATAAGTCCCAAAAGTTGTGCATATTTTCAATAACTTTTCTATGAGATAATTAATTGCCACGTGAAATTTAATATACATTTAGTATGAATAGTGTAGAGTGATTCATTAAGTAAGCACATGCTACTTATCAGTCTGTACTTCTGTATCGTTTGATGCACTTATAGTCTGAAACATCGCTACCGAGTGAATGCACCAGTATGTTACTACATGCTAACCGTACGTAAGGGATTCAAACGGTGTGTACCGTGTTTCTAAGACACGTTTCACTCGGTCGGCTTTCTAATCTGCCCGCTGGGCAGTTGGTTCTCTCGTCTTTCTCTCTTTTCGCTTAATAAAAATTCAGCCAATGTAGGTATATGCATTCTGTTTTCTATCTGGCATATATATATATATAGAACGAAAATCCCGATCGCGCACAGAAGTTTAAATCCCGATATTTTCTCTAATCCCTATTCCGTCCCGTAAGTTTATTCCCAATCGGCAAATCTTTTTCTTTCAGTCCCGCTCCGTCCTGATCCGTTTTATTGCTCTATATTTATGTTGTTATATCGTGTAGTTTTTATCGCTTATCCTACATATATTATCTCTCATGTTTATTAAAAAGATATGTAATTATACTTTTTCAAGAATAAAACCGCTGTGGTGAAAATGAAGCATGGAGTGAAATTGTCTACCTTATATTGCGAATCATAGAAAAAGCTAAAAAAGCACTTGAACTACAAGTATAAAGTATTTTTTGATAGTACAGGGTGCGTAAAAATGTTTTTCCAGGGGGGGAACTCTATACTAACAAACAGTAATCATAATGAATTTTATACCAAATGAAAGCGCGGAAAAAATGTGTTCTTCTGATACTAAATTGTAAGGGTTCGAAAAATATTTTTATAACAAGGACAGCAAATCTCTGAAAAAACTGTACCAAAAG